GACGGCTTACCTTGTGGAAGCTGCCATGGAAGATCTTCTTCACCAGGCTGTGGTCAAATGTGACTCTCTGGATTTCTCCGGTTTCGTCCTTATTGTAGAACGAAACAGTCTGAGCAGAACCTGGAGGAGAGAGAACTGTTCAGAACCAAGAGAACTGTTCAAATCAGAGACAGAAGAACTGTTCAAGATAAAAAAATCTGTTCAGAATAAGGAATCTGTTCAGTCAGATGTCAAAACAAAGATATTTAGGAATCTGATACGTTTTAATTGGAAGCAAGGAGGATCAACTGGAGCTTAATGAGCACTGCTAGCATAGCATCACTAGCTGAGCACTGCTAGCATGGCATCACTAGCTGAGCACTGCTAGCATAGCATCACTAGCTGAGCACTGCTAGCATAGCATGACTAGCTGAGCACTGCTAGCATAGCATCACTAGCTGAGAACTGCTAGCATAGCATCACCATAGTAACGTCGCTAGAACAGCGTCATTAGTGTAGTGTTGCTAGCATAGTGTAGCTAGCATAGCATCACCATGATAGCATCACCACTGTAGTGCTGCCATGACATCATGAGGCTGTTTACCTACGATGCTCTGCTGGTTGTGAAACTCAGCTGATTCGCCCTGAGTTACCCTGCGTTGCCCTCGTTACCCTCGTTGCCCTGCGTTGCCCTGCGTTGCCCTCGTTACCCTCGTTGCCCTCCAGCACCGCGGCGGACTCACCGTCCACGGTGACTCCGGTCTCAGGCTTGTGGTCCTTGGAGGAGACCTGCCAGAGGTCAAAGGTCTCGGCGGGAGAGTCGGGCAGCAGGCGGAACATCAGGATGATGGTGAAGGTGTCAGGCAGGCCGTCTGGGTGCAGCTCTCTGCTCAGGAAACATAGAGCTGAAACTAGAAGCTGCCATAGAGTCGCTAAGTTAGAATGCATTGGCCCCATCAGACTGAATCACATGCGGGGTTCCCCAGGGCTCAGTCCAGGGACTGCTCTCATTTCTATAAGCTCCCACTGTAGTAGCGCTGAGATCAGTTTCCATGACTACCATATTATGATGTCATAAGGTGCCTCTGAACCAGCCAATCACAGAACAGACACAACAAATCAATGAAGGGGAGCCAGAACTTTCTCCAGCTGAACAGAATCTGAAGTTACCATCTTTGGACCTGCAGAGGAACCGGATCAGGATGACCTCTGACCTGAACCTGCACAGACAGTTAGAAAGCCGGCCTGGAGAACATCCAGAAAACACAGCATAGACCCTCAGGTCCTCTGGTTCCGGTTCTGGATAAGAACCCTCAGGCTAGCATGGAGAAGCAGCATTCAGCTTCTACACAACATAAATCTGGACCAGAACCAGTGAGCGGACCCAGCGACCCGGCTGGGACTCACGTGCTGGGCTGGGTCAGGAAGGCGTTGCGGTGCAGCCGGTACGCCGTGTAGCTGTTGAAGGATCCGGGCTCCATGGAGACGCCGGGGACGGAGCTGTAGGTCTTCTCCGTCAGGTTGAAGGCCTCCAGCATCCTGAACCCTGAGGAAGAGGAGGACGATGAAGAGGAGGAGCAGGGTTCTGACCCGGTTCCACCCGAAGCTAGAACTCACCAGGTGAGGTGAAGCCGTTGAGGTAGATGAGAGGACAGGCTGTGGAGGGAACAGAGCGTTCATTGGGGAACGGTTTCAGAGTGAGAGGCGGAAACGGAGGCGGACTGACAGGAAGTCGACGTTTCGCAGATGAAGGTGATCAGATTCTCCTTGATGGAGTCGAAGGCGTCGAAGTCGTCCACCACGAACACGTGCCTGTCGCTCGGCTTGCTGCCGATCTCCTGCAGCTCCACGAAGTCCACGTCCGCCACGCCGATGGCGAAGACGCTGTACCCTGGGAGCAGAGCCACGGGTCAGAACCACGGGTCAGAACCAGAGCCACGGGTCAGGACCACGGGTCAGAACCAGAGCCACGGGTCAGGACCAGAGCCACGGTCAGAACCCAGAGCCACGGGTCAGAACCAGAGCCACGGGTCAGAACCAGAGCCACGGGTCAGAACCCAGAGCCACCGGTCACAACCAGAGCCACGGGTCAGAACCACGGGTCAGAACCCAGAGCCACGGGTCAGAACCCAAAGCCACGGGTCAGAACCAGAGCCACCGGTCAGAACAACGGGTCAAAACCAAAGCCACGGGTCAAAA